TCTCTCCCATCTTGCCTTCCCCCAGCCCCGACCTTTGGCCAAACACTTACATACAGCTGGACCTAGTTCTACTTAGTTCATACAGTTTAGTCCAAATCTTCTGGAAAATGAGTCCAGGTGCTTTGCAGGGTTAAAAGTTCAGCATGTATTTCTGCTATAACCACAAGCCCAGTTACTGCTACTGCTCAATGTAACAGGCACCATGAACTCCTTAGCCCACAACAGGTGGTGCCTCAATGTGGTTTTCATTTGTATCTCCCTGACGGCTAGGGAGCCTGAGCAGCTTTTCATGTGTCTGTTAGCCATTTCAATCTGTTCTTTTGAGAAATGTCTGTTCATTTCCTTCACCCATTTCTTCACAGGTTTTTGTTCGTTTGTTTGTTTTCTTTTTTACTGTCCCTGGGTTTCTGAAGCTCTTTGTAAATCCTGGATATTAATCCCCTGTCACTTGTGTAGTGTGCAAAGATTTTCTCCCATTCTGTTGGTTGCTTCTTCACTTTCTTAATTGTTCCCTTTGCTGTACAGAAGCTTTTTATTTTGATGTAGTTCATTTGTTTATTTTATCTTTGACCACCTGTGCTTTTGGTGTTTTTTCTAAGAAGTCTTTCCCCATTCCTATACCTTGGAGAATTTTGCCTATGTTTTCCTTTAATAATTTGATGGTTTCTGGGTGCAGATTTGGGCCTTTGAGCCATTTAGAGCTGATGTTTGTATACTGTGACAAGGTCACAGGTGCAGGTCTTGCTTCTTAATTCTGCAAGCTGCAATCCAATTGTCCCAGCAGCATTTGTTGAAGACACCACGCCTTTTCCCTGGATTGTTTTCAGTTTTCTTGTCAAAGGTCAGTTGACTATACATGTGCGGGTTCCCTTCTGGTGTTTCTATTCTGTTCCACTGATCTTCTTCTCTGTTTCTGTACCAGTACCAGACTGTTTTGATGACCACTGCCTTGTAATATGTCTTGAGGTCTGGAATTGTGATTCCTCCAGCTTGACTTTTATTCTTCAGGATAACTTTGACTATTCGGGATCTCTTGTGTTTCCAGATGAATTTTTATATCCTCTTTTAGATTTCTGAGAAGAGTGTTGCTGGGATTTTGATTGGGATTGCATTGAACCTGTATATTGCTTTTGGTGATATGGCCTTTTGGATGCTGTTGATCCTGCCAATCCAGGAACATGGTAAGTTTCTCCATTTTTCAATGTCTTCTCCTATTTCCTTTTTTTTAAAAAATGCTTTATAATTTTCATCATAGAGGTCTTTTACATATTTAGTTCTGCATTAACTTTTTCAAGCCCACTTATAGATATGTTAATTACCTTAATTGTGGTAATTGTTTAAGGATCAATACAAATAAAAAATACCACATTGACACCATATACACACATAAAATTTTGAAACATTTATTTATTTGAGAGAGATGGCAGTGCAGTGGGGGAGGAGTGGGGAGGTGGCGGTGGTCTGGGTGGTATTCTTCCATCTGCTGGCTCACTCCCCAGATAACCACAGCAGTGAGGGCAGAGCCAGGCTGAAGCCAGGAGGGGGTAACTGCACTCAGGATTCCCACAGGGAGAGCAGGAGCCCAAGTGCTCAGCCATCTTCCTTCCAGGGCGCATTAGCAGGGTGCTGGACTGGAAAATGAACCAGCAAGGACTCAGAGCAGTGCTCCTGCAGGCAGCAGCTTGACTGACTGCACTGGAGTGCTAGCTCCCATATACAACTTTAATTTGTCAACTTTTTTCAAGAAACTTGACAGGAAGGGGAAACAGGGATAAGTGCCTCAATTTAAAAAAAAAAAAAAAAGAATGAATGGCTTGGTAGAGGGAATGAGACATGGGAACGGACAATTGTCTGATAACGCAACTGGAGTGAAATATCAGTGTAGATTCTAGATGAGGAGTAGCTGGGCAATCATTGTACTATTATATCATTTTGTCTATGAGAAATTTCCAAATAAAAGTTTAAAAGCCTAAAGGCTGTGATCTAAGTGCCCACTTTAAATAGATTGTGAATAACAGAGCTTGCCTCACACTGAGTGAAATATTAAATTTTTTCTTTAGTTATATTTCCTGTTTAAAAAAAGACTTATTTATTTTTACTGCAAGTCCTCACCTTGCACACACCAGGATCCTAAATGGATGCTGGTTCGTATCTCAGCTGCTCCACTTCCCATCCGGCTCCCTGCCTGTGACCTGGGAAAGCAGTCGAGGATGGCCCAAAGTCTTGGGACCCTGCAACTGCGTGGGAGACCCAGAAGAGGGTCCTGGCTTCTGGCTTCGGATTGACTCAGCTCTGGCCACTTTAGCCTCATGGGGAGTGAATCATCAGACAGAAAATCTTCCTCTCTTTTTCTCATATCTGTATATCTGACTTTCCAATAAAAATTAATTAAATCTTTTTTAAAAAAAAAGTTTATTGGAAAGTCTGGTCAATGCAAGAAAAAGAAATAAAAAGAATACAGCTGGGAAAATAAGGAATGAAATTTGGTATTTGCACATGTCATGATTTTTAACAGGAAATCCAAGAATCTCTAAAGCAACTCCAGAACTAATAATCCCAAGATCATGGATCAAAATGAATCAATGACACTACAAGTGGGAAATGAAATAAAAGCCATTTCCTCTGTGAAAGTGTGAAAAGTGTATAAGAACCAATTTCACACAAGCTGGCCATGATTGGTACCCTGAACCGTATAGCCCTGGGCCAGGTCACAGTTGGAATCCAAGAACACAATCCAGGGCCCTCCAGGAGCTGGCAGGAACCCCCAAGTCCCTAGGGTACTTCCCACTGCCTTCACGGGTTGGCAACAGTTCTCAGGAATGGGGTCAGGAGCTGGAGCAGGATGCTGAGCCCAGGGAGGCAGGCATCATAACCGCCAGGCTCAGCATCTGCCCTCTATATTGTGAGCATAGGTAAAAAGAGGCTAGGGATAGATAGGTAGATAGAATGGTTGGTAGATAGACAGATAGATAGACAGATAGATAGATAGACAGATAGATAGATGATACAATAATATATGTTTACCTCTATTTTTCTAGCTTTTGTCTTTTTCTGTTTTGGCAGGTAGGTCCTAGAATGGCCCACCAAGTTCAGTGAAGCTAGTTGAAACTAAAACTGTGCTCTGGTGCCATCTCCAGCTCTCCTGACCCCAGGTTCCTGCGAATGCAGCTCCTAGCACACGGCTGTGATGACTCGGGTTGCTGGGTTGCTGCCGCCTGGTGAGAGACTTGCCCTGAGCCCTGCCTGCCAGCTCCAGCTTGGCCCAGAACCAGCTGCCGTGGGCATCTGCTGAATGAACCAGTGAAAGTGAGTCCCTTGTCTCTCTGCTTCTCAAAAGAAGTTTTTACCAAAAAAAAAAAGTGTTTGAAGAATGTCTGAGGGTTCTAGTAATAGATTTAACACAGTTGAAGCAGCAAAATCAATGATAAAAACAGAGTGTAATCTGATAAACAGAGATCCTATTAGCTGACACTAAAAAGAATGAAGGAATAAGCCACTAAAAATGAGTAAGTACATAAGAAGACAAAGTTTTCACTAACAATGGCATATACACCATAAAGCGTAGGAAAGAGTGAAGTTAAACATCATTAGTGGTTGCCAAACAAGTGAGTAAAAATATGATGACAGATGGAATATTTGCATAGTATCAAAGAACCTCCTACAAATGCTTTAAGGTTTACAGAGGAGGAAGATACTAACTCTGCAGTGAAGAAATCTGGTTGCACCACCTTCCGCCGGTGGTTAGAGTCGGCATTAGTAACACCGAGACAGGCGAGCCGAGGCGTCTCCTGGTACATTGCTGTAAGAATGACACGGTGTCACTCAGTGTGGTATTCCTGCAAAAACTGACCGTGATGCAACAGCTCAGGAGTCCAAAGTGGGTGGCATTCTACCAAACATTTGGCCTGTACTTTTTGCACTGAGAAATTTCTCCATATTAAACGAGATTTAAAAAAAAAAAAAGCATCTCAACCAAATATGAGTCATGCTTGGTTGGAGCCTGGACAAGGAAGAAGGTATGATAACAGCTTGCTGGGCCCGGCGTTGTGGCCTAGTGGCTCAAGTCCTCGCCTTGAACGCACCGGGATCCCATAAGGATGCCGGTTCTAATCCCGGCAGCCCCACTTCCCATCCAGCTCCCTGCTTGTGGCCCGGGAAAGCAGTCGAGGACGGCCCAAGCCTTGGGACTCTGCACTGGCTCCTGGCTTCAAATCGGCACAGTACTCGCTATTGCTGTCACTTGGAGAGTGAATCATCGGACGGAAGATCTTCCTCTCTGTCTCTCCTCCTCTCTGTATATCTGACTTTGTAATGAAAATAAAATAAATCTTAAAAAAAAAAAAAAGATAACAGCTTGCTGACCTAGGCCAGGCGTAAGGGAATGTTCCTTGGTCTGAGAGATGTGCAAGAAATATGTAAAGGTGAAGAACCCAGGTGCTCTCCAAGCTGGTCGCAGCTTAATCTGAAACAGTTCAGAAAAAGGCAGGTAGACACGCGCACATGAAAGCAGCCCAAGAACGTATGTCCTAGGAAGTGGGCGTGGCGGGGCAGGTGCTTGGCATGGTGCTAAGCAGCCTCTTGGATGACTTGCATCCCATATCAAAGTGCCTGAATGTGAGTCTTGGCCCAACTCTGTCTCCCAGCTTCCTGCTAATGCACACCCCGGAAGGCAATGGATTATGGTACAAGTGCTTGAGTTCTCGTCACTCGTGTGGGAGACTTGGACTGAGTCCCTAGTTCCTGGCCTAGTGCTGCCTGTTGGAGGTTCTTGCAGGAGTGGAATGGCAAGTGGGAGAATTTTGTCTCTCTCTCTCTCTGCCTTTCCAAAGAATAAAATACATTAAAAAAAAAGAAGATGACGGAAAAAAAAGTTAAACAAAATGGCACAACATATAAGCTATTGTACCTGGAGCGTACATGAGAATGCCTTATTTTATTCTTGCAACTGCTTTTTTTCTTAAAAAAAATCAATTTGTAATTATATAAAAACAGATTGTTTAGTGCTTGCTCTGGTAGCACATGTACTAAAAATCAAAATAAAACAGAAGATCAGCATGACCCTTGAGTAAGGATGACATGCAAAACTGTGAAGCATTCCGTAGGTTTTTTTTTTAAATATATATATAATTTTTGTTGTCTTTTAATACAGTTTAGTTGGTGGTGGGTTTTCCCCTCCTCCTCCCCAAATTTCCTCCCCTCCCCTCTGTTCTCCTCTCTAAAATTATGCATTCTGTAGTTTTAAAAGCAAATTATTTTAGGGCCCGTGCGATAGTGTAGTGGCTAAAGTCCTCACCTTGAACACATTAGGATCCCATATGGGCCCCAGTTCTAATCCCAGCAGCTCTGCTTTCCATTCAGTTCGCTGACTGTGGCCTGGGAAAGCAGTCGAGGATGGCCCAAAGCTTTGAGATCCTGCACCCAGAAGAAGCTCCTGGCTTCGAATTGATTCAGCTCTGGCCATCACAGTCACTTGGGGAGTGAACCATCAGATGCAAGATCTTCCTCTCTGTCTCTCCTCCTCTCTATGTATCTGCCTTTCCAATAAAAATAGTAGATCTTTCTAAAAACAGATTATTTTAAAAATTGTGCATACCTGGGCCCGGTGCGATTGCACAGTGGTTAAGGTCCTCGCCTTGCACGCCTGGGATCCCATATGGGCGCCGGTTCTAATCCCGGAAGCTCTGCTTCCCATCCAGCTCCCTGCTTGTGGCCTGGGAAAGCAGTCGAGGACAGCCCAAAGCTTTGGGACCCTGCACCTGCGTGGGAGTGGACCCAGTTAAGGAAACCGTGGGGCACCTCTCTGATGGGTTGCAACTCCCACTGGTGAATGTGAGAACCAGGGCTAGGGGAGGGCCTGGCTGGACAGGCGGTGCCACTCACCAGCATGAGTGTGGGCTGAATAGTGGGGTCAGCTGAGTTGAACTAGGCTTCAGTGCCCACTGACGTGTCTGAGAGCTGACTGGGATGTAGGACAAATTGGATCAGTCCACTACACATACTGTCAAACACAGGAACCAGGGCTAGGGGTTATCGGGGGTTGTCCAACTGGGCTGTAGCTCCCAACAGTGTACATGAGGGCCAAGTACATGGCAGGCAGGGCTGGGCTGGGCTGTGGCATCTACCGGCTTACATAAGAGAAGGGGCTGGAGACAGAATCGACACAGCCGTTGCAATTACCAGTGTGTGCATAGGCGGATGTGGTTGGCAGACTGAGGCGGACCCCATACTGGCAAGCACACGTTAGAGTCAGGTCTTGGATCACTTCAGACGAGGCTTCTTTAAGGATCCCCCACTGAACCACTGGACTCAGAACTCCAACCCAAACATGGGGGAGACTCCTAGGATCTGTGGTCTGATGTGCATGGAGTGCATGTGTCAGAACTGGGCCTCCTCCGTGGCTTAGACAGAGCAGTGGGCGGCATGCCCAGATGCACGCAGAGGATATGGCAGTCCACTTGGGCCTGCAGAGGACATCTAGTACCATAGCAGAAGAAGGAGGGCAGAAAAACTGGCCAACTACCCCAGCCAAGCATTGATGGCAACTATCTGGGCAAATGTAAACTCTAAGATAGACTATGTCAGTCAGTGGACCTTGGAAGGATTTCCTCATCCTTGGATCGGCAAGATCGACAGCATTTCAGAACTATCGAAACCACTTGAGCAGAACGCTCGGAGCAGGCTCCACATGGGGGGGCCCTGGGATGACATCAGGTGGCTGGTCCCCCATTTCTGGGTACTGAGGCGCTTCGGAGGTTGGGTGTGGCTTCTCCCCTTATCTACCCTCTTCCCCCAGATACAGGAAAAAGAAAATTTGGAGACAGTGGTCTCACCTACTTTCCTCTAACCCTTGGCCCTTCCCACCCCAATCAACTATGTGAATATCATCAAAAGTAAATTTTTTTTTTAAAAAAGCGGCTTTCCTGGAACATTCTCTGAAAAACAGGCTCAGGCTAATAGAGGGGTTCAGATTTCCTGGCTGCATTTCATGCCCCTATGCCTCACACTCTTGGTGACTTTGGGACATGGGGGTAAAAACTACTGAACTGCCTGCTCATGCCTTTTATAACATAGAACAGTCAGTTCAGTTGGAATATCCCTTATCCAACGCTTGAGACAAAAGTGTTTTGGGTTTCAGATTCTAGAATATTTACACACTTACAAGTACCATGAGAAATCAGTGAATGGGGCCTAAATCTAAACAAGAAACTCCCTCGTGCCAAACACGCATGTTACACGCACAGCCTGCCGGTAACCTTTGCTACAGTATTTAGTGTTTTTATCGTGTCTTAGTTATGACTGTGTCTTGACACATGAGGTCCCAGTGCCGTACTATATGAACATGGAAAAGCTTCATACCGGGGAGGATTGTGGACATTTGGGTCAGCGATGCTGCATCTCTGGACAGCTCCAGGGCGGTGAGGTTTGTGGGAACTGAGGACAACCTGCAGGGAGGCAGTCCTGTGATACAGAGTCCGTGGTGAGACAGTCTGATCAACAACAGGCCATTAAAGAAATCACATGGCTGTGCTGAATGTGGCTCGGCTGGTGGGCAGAAATGTCTGGTTCCGTGCAGAGAGAGTTGCCACAATCTTCCCAAGAGCAACACAAGGATATCACTTGTTTTCCTCCCCTAACAAAAACTTCCTTCCGACTGCAAACTCTACTATCCAGAGGGAGGAGGCAGAGGAAGAACCATTTAGTAGCTATCATGTGGGGTAGGCATTTGGCACGATGGGAAAGACTCTGCTTGGCACGTCCATATCCCGTACTTCAGTGTCTGAGTTGGAGACCTCCCAGGCACTGCTTCACCGTGATGCGGGGGTGGGCGATCAGGTGATGGCCCCAGTCCACCCGAGTACCCCTGTGGGAAACCCAGAGAAGGTTCCAGGCTCCTGGCTTCAGTCCTTGCCCAGTCTTTGCTGTTGTGGGCAGCTGGGAAGTGAACCAATAGGTACAAGTTCTCTTTTTCTGTCTTTTATGAGTAATTATATCCTAGCTACCCTTCACCCCAGCATCTGAGGCTTGTCACTCTCGAGAAGAAATTTATCTAATCTCACTGACTTCATTTTCCTTTAAAGCTCAAGAGATCTTTTTAGGGGGGGGGTTCTAGAATTGCTAATAAAAAGCCTACTGATGACAAGTCCCTATCAGTCTTTTATTATTGTTATCATTATATCATGATAGTAATTTGTGCCCCACCCCTACCCTTCCATCTCTCATCCTTGGCACCTTATCTTTGGGTGGGTCTAAGTGTTGGTCTGATTCTCTCCATCCTGCCACAAGTCCCTGCCACCAGTGTGGGAGCCTGGGTTGAGTTCCTGGTTCCAGACTGTCCTTTCCAGTCCCTGCTTCCTCTGCTCCAGGATCTGATCAGCCAGACACACATTGGAGCTTCGCATTGTGTTTTTCTGGTCTTGAGATTCTTTTTCCTGAGCTCCCCCCGCTTGCGCCACCTTGTGGCTGATTTTTTCCTACACCTCTCATTTCCTCTTCTGGACTTGGTTTCCCCCCACCCCTTAAAGTCTCCATTGTTTCCTCTGAAGATTACCTATTGTTGGCTGTTTCCTTTCTCGTGCTCTGCCTGCCAGTTCATCCTCAGGGTTATTTATCGTGGGAATTTCACAGGCTCTGATTTATGAAGGGTGCTTATGGGGGTCACTGTTTATTTGGCTCTGGTGGGGTCCCCCGGGGTTTTAATTTTTCATTGACTTACAGATTTTCTGACCTTGGAGGCAGCACAGGTGCGTGAGGAAGCGTTTCCTCTCTCCCCTTTGTTGTAGACCAGTTTTCCCAGCTGTCATTTGCATGCAGAGCGCTCAACTCCAGAACTGCTGTTCTACCCTGATGGACCAGGAGCGCTGGGTGGCACTCCACCCCTTGTCGGCTTTTATTCATATCTGCTCCTCCTGGGCCACTCTACTTCGGTTTAGGATCACTGGTCCAGCCTTATCTCCTTATCCGTGGATGACTGCAACAGCCAGCATAGGGCTGGGAGCCCATCAAGTCCAGAACCTGACTCAGTTCTCCCACGGGGACAGCAGTTGGTTGGGTGAGTTCTGTCTCCCTGGGGGTTGCTCGGCAGGAACCTCAGTAAATAGTAGAGCAAGGACTTGAACTCACGCTGGTATGGGATGTGGGTGCCTCAGCCGGCATCTTAACCTGCTAGGCCAAACACCCACCCTGTCCAGACTCTCCTCCCCACTTTAATTTCGAATTGAAACTCTTCCTGGTTTCACGGAACCAGAGCACTTCACTCCCAAGTTGGGGCGTGGAGCCAGCACACAGTGGCAGGGTTGAGGCGGGAGCCAGGAGGGCATGGGATCATAGTCTCATGTGTAGCATATTCAGTGCCATGAGCCAGGCGGGCATGGGATCATGGTCTCACGTGTGGCATCATTCAGTGCTCTCTGACCTTGAGCACTTCGCTGAGGCTCCAGCGCCTTCCGTGTTTACATCAGCAAAGTGGGTGCGATAGCACTCCTCTCACGTGGCTGCTGAGGGAACGCGATGTGAGCACGGCAGTTAGCAGTCAGTTGAATGTGGACAGTGTCCCCGATCTCAGCTGGGAGCTTACTGGATTTTGTGTTCTCCTCCTCCTCCTTCTCTTTTTTAAGATTCATTTATTTTTATTGAAAGTCAGATTTACAGGGTGAAGGAGAGATTGAGAGGACGATCTTCCATCCGCTGATTCACTCCCCAGGTGGGAGCAATGGCCGCAGTTGAGCCGATCTGGAGCCAGAAGCCAGAAGCCTCTTCCAGTCTCTCACGTGCAGTTGCAGGGTCCCAAGGCTTTGGGCCGTCCTTGACTTCTTTCCCAGGCCGCAAGCAGGGAGCTGGATGGGAAGTGGAGCAGCTGGGATACAAACCGGCGCCCATATGGAATCCCAGTATGAGCAAGGCAAGGACTTTAGCCACTAGGCTACCACACCTGGCCCTGGATTTTGTCTTCTAATACATGTGGAATGACAGATCAATCGGCTAATCCTCTACCTACATGTGTCAGGATCCCATATGGGCACCAGTTTGTATCCTGGCTGCTCCAGTTCCCATCCAGCTCCCTGCCTATAGCCTGGAAAAGTAGTGGAAGATGGCCTAAAATGTTGGAA